TCCTCTTAGAGAGCTGGTTGTAATGTGATTCTAAGCTGACATTATGATGATGAGCATTTCAATAATGAGCTGCTGACACTAACAGAGATTTGATTTTGTTGAATATCTTAAAGATGGGTATCCTGAAGAACCAAACATCACTTCAGACGATGGTTCTCTTGCAAGCCGATTCATGTTTTAGAATATAAATATCTTATAAAGTCCAGTTCGTTTTCTGACACCCCAGGAGATAGAGAAGGCGAGAATTATAGATATCAGTTTATAATGGAATCTTTAACTTGGCAACTGAGAATCTTGTGTCAAATGTGGTTCTGCTAGACCCCTGCTCTAAACAGATGCAGCTCCTGGATGTCTCTGATTTATTCGCTCAACGCTGTCTATAACACAGCTGGCTACTGTATCATTCTGGGGTGAGCCTATGAAAAAGGCTTTATTACCACTGACAGTTAGAAATTTCGCTAAATAATTAGATAAAGCCCGCTGTAACGAAAGCGCATCGGACAAAATTCCGATGTAATATTCAACCGACTGTAACCAAAAAGCGAGTTTAACTCAAGCGCGATATATTGTTAAAGCCAGATAATGTAAAATCCATATATTTTAAAAGCTATGTTACATAAAAGCGATGTATTATAAGAGCGACTGTAACTGAAAAGGAATTTCAAGAAAACCGTGATGTTTTGTAGGAGCGACCTGGTTGGTATAAGAATTTAATAAAAGAGCGATGACATAAAAAGTGCGATGCAATAATTTCTGAACCCATATAATATAAAAGTGACTGTAACAAGCGAATTGCATTTTGACTGATAATTTTAAATTCGTTATATTCCCTGAAACTGACTTTGCAATTGACAATCAAAACATAAAGTTTATCCTAAGTAGATCATAAAATTAAAAAATATTCCAACCCAACTTATAATATGATATGAATTGCATACAAGGACTAGCGCGCATTAGGTTATGAATTGTATCAACCCCCAGCAACTCAGAATGCACGGAGGTTATCATAATATAATTGTTGCCTCCATTAAAAACTCATTGCGCGGTTTGGTTATTTTGGGTTAATCTGTGATGCGACTGCACCGCTTTGTTGCAGCGTTCCTAAATTGCATCGGTATTACCAAATATATTTTGCATTATATCGCCATCCGATTATTTGCTTATTAATACATCGACTTCTACAAATTCGCTGTTTGACTACTCGCTATTTCATCTGGAGCTTTTTCGCTCCTCCGCCTTTTGCTAAAAATTGCTTTTAATGACGCGCACTCCTAATCAATCCCTATTTTGTTTGGTGCTCTCTGGTTACTAATCCCCAGCAGTGGGACCTTGAAACCAATATAGCGCGGCCAGCGTGAATTTGCTGGCGGCAAATATGCGAGCTAATATTTCTATGCCGCTCTATTCCATTGCAACTATGTATTTCATATCGTTTCTTCCTCCCCCTTCGCCTCAGACCGGAACGCACTTTTTACAGTTGCCAACCTTTAAGTCTATCCATATTCTCGGGAAAGAATAATCCTGTCTCATTCGACGCACCTTGTGAGCCCTTTTGTTAATGAATTAACAAGAGGCTCATAATATGCTCAGTTTGCTCAGCGAATAATTATAAGGGGTGCGTTGATAGTTTAATAAGTACAGAATGGCAAGGGCGCCACTGGATTTGAAAAAAAAATTGATAAATTACATAAAATATTGGGGTGTGAAAATTCAGAAACACAAATAAAAAAAAAAAAAAAAACAGCAAAAGGTAATTGGTAATTCTGAAAAGGAAATAAATGAGGCAACTCAATCAAACCTTGACCCAGGTAAACCAATTAAACAATTGAGTAGGTTTCAAATTAAATTAGTATATATTTCACAGTGAGGTCAAAAATCAAGTATCGGATAATTTCAAAGTATAAAATCAATTACAAAACACTTTAAATAAAATCAATAAAAAGAGGTTAAATTTCAATCAGATTCGTCAAGCTCAAAAAAAATAATAATATTACAATGTACCTCAATATAGTTGCCATATAAGATCATTAACAGTCGCTGGCCATATCATTAATTTGAAATAAAAAATATGGAGGATTTAAGTTTCCAGAAAATTAATTTAAAAAAAATTAATGAAAATTACAATATTAACCTTCCGTTAGTCGCGCCCGGTCTGTGAGACCGACCATACACTTACTTTTTTTCGTGGTATTCTGGAAATAAAGGTAAAAGCCACCTCCCCCTCTATGTATCTTCTCAACGGTTCACGACGGAACAGCAGTGCTAATGAGAGTGTTGGAAGTGGTTGTTTTGCCGAAAATATTTTGTCCTACGGTGTATATGTGCTTAAAGCATATTATTGGAGTTTGTCAGGAATGCCGAGAAAATACTCTTTACTAACTTTGAACATGTTTGTTTAACTTTTTTTTAGTGTAAAAGAGCTCGTGAAAGAGTTATATTTTACTCTTCGTATTATATCCTGTTTTTATTTTCTGGATGTGACTAAATAACGTGCAGTAGTAAAAAAAGCACTATATTTTCAAAGATTTTGTGGTATATTTGGAAAAATTGGCCAAATGTACTCCTTTTTTTTCTCAATCATTTATTATGTTTGTTAAAACATCCCTACATGTATTTTTTGAAAAGTACATTTCGGTATTTATTTGGGGGTTGATTAAGTTGTACGGTCTGTGAGACCGACGCGACTACTCACTTTAAAAAATTTGACGCGACTATCCGAAGGTTAAATGGTTAAATATAGTCAGCTACTGCCGGAAAATAAAATCAGTGAAATCAAATTTAAACTGTATGAAATCGAAGGTTAAAAGTTGAAGGTATAAAGGAGATATAACCGAAATCCTCAAGTTTATAAGTGATATAATCCAGATGAAAAATTGATCAATTTTTGGCGTCATAGATATTATCCGTCGTTTTTAATCTGACACTTTCCGTATGAGGAGCGAGGGGGTGAAGCTTATGGCAAAAACAGGATTGACGTCAGGTGACTATTGGCGTTCTAATGCAGGGAGCCACCAGCTCACATTCCTTTGGAGTATCAAATTGAAATCGACGGACTTTACTTACCCAGTAATTTTAAATTTAGAACATATTGTCCAACCTTGACCTCAGTTCAGATTAATGAATATGATTATTAAAAGATAAAATACAAGTACATTAGTTAAATATGACGGTACTAAAAGTTAACCAAAGATAAACTCATAAAAATTCGATAAATCAAAAATTAAATAATTAAGTTCACTCCGGTGTCAAGAATATAATTATTGAAATTGAAATTTTAAATATTTAGAAGCAATATCGGTAAAAATTCAATTATGGTAATTGATCATAAAATAGATTTCATAGAAAAAGTTAGTAAAGGTTATAATTGAAACTCTATACAAGCCTTAATTCCAACAAAAAGGTAGAGTACGGTAGTCGGTAGCCATCCATTTTTGGTCACTGGACGAGGGAAGTGGCACATGGAAGTTACAGATTCTAGCCTAGAATCAAGGCTAGGAGTTGTTTTCTTCGTCAAATGTAGAGGTACAGGTTTCGAAACGTGAGGGTATTAAGAGCTCTATGCCCAGAGATGAGGCTTGTTGAAAATGGATCCCTTGAGAAAAACAGCTCTCCGGTAAAAACAGCTCCCCGGTAAAAACAGCACCTTGGTAAAACCCTAAGTAATAGACGCATTTCATGAACAACCATTACTTGAAAGAAATTTAAAAGGACTTACCATGAGAGGGTTCGAAACTCAAACTCAAATAGAACGGTAATTACGAGACTTTTTATTCAAATTTTTTCCGGCAATCAATGGATTATTGCCTTAGGCAACTTTATTTCGTTAAAATAATGCCTGACGGCCGATAGGGTACTTTTTCCACGGCCACAGTCGACCTCTCAGGGCAACGGCAAGATTAGAAAAGGGACTAAGAAAAGGACAAAAATGGACAGGCAGAGCTTTTTTTCAAAAAGCCAACGGAAAATTTTGGTACTAAACCGGTACTTCGAATTTAAACGAAAATCGTGCTCTCTAGTGTAATAATTTATTAATTGCTATTATTTTTTCCAACAGAAATTTTCTTTTTTTAATGCTAGTCACCAGACTGTCAACATTAAAGGTTACATTCGCAATGTTACAACCTTTAAAGATGGAGAGGGACGAACAGGAAGGATCGTTATAAAAAAAGAACGTCATCTTTTTCTAAATCTGAAAAGCTAATAGCTCATGAGATAAAAGAAAAAATAAATCTATTCTTGCAGAGTCTACTATAAGTATAATAATTGCCTTATTCTCCCAATTATTCTCGACAGAGCATCTTTCCTTTTGTCCGCAGAAAAATCCAATAACTTTTCTATCAAGTTTGATTACTTGAAAAAACCCTGCATATTAACGCAACAAAAAAAGCGTAGGGCGCTGCAATAACTGTTTGTTTTTGTTTCATCAAATTAATTAAATTTTTGTTTTGCTTTTTTTTAGTACGCAGTTGTTCAATAGAATTTCGTATAAAAATTCCCCAATTGTCTCCAGGTCGTGCGCATGTTACAGTGGAGCAGGAACATTCCTACTTACAATCCATGCAGTCCTATCAATAATATTTTAAATAAATTAACTAGAATTTCCCATAATATTAGAGTGCATGTTGATTTTCCCTTATGATTGTGAAAGTGTTTGTTAACTTTCTCATTTTTCTATAGCTTTTCCGAGAATTACTTTTCAAACAAGTCTAGGCATGAAAATGTGCATGTGGTTTCAGCAAAATATACGACAATATTTTATCGAGATTTAATCTTAGCTTGTGTTTGCCTGCCAAGGCGTCTAGAAAAAGGCTATAAACCTTTGTTTGGTAAAATATTACTCCGATATATACTTTATTATGACTGATTTATATTCAATTAGCATACATACAACAGTGAAGAAAAAATACCCTTGTAAGAATCCAGCTTTGTAATTTTAATATAATTAGGTATACGTTATTTTCAAATAAAATAGTTAATTATGATGCAAACAATAAACTGACCTTTGTATATGTGGTAAAATAAGCTGACATGTCGTTTTGCATGCCTCGACGCAATTTCTCCGTAATTTCCGGATTCGTTCCCTGTGTTCCGGACAATCTCTTGCCTGACCGATGGCTACCAAAAGGTCCCTGAATAGAGCGATTTGGGCATTAATGTCCAGGACAAGCTGAAACAAAATTTTATGAGACTAATATGAGATACACTCTCATTGTTAATTTTGATCGAAAACAATTTATACTTTTTCTTGCGACTATTTTACATCATATTGACAGTCATTTTTCAAAAGTGTTTGGAAATGTTTTTCCGTTGACCTTCTCACCGCCAAGGAGTTTGATAGAGAATTAATTTCTATCGACTCCCGAATTTGAACGATTAATTAGACATCAATCCACACGAAACTAAAGAATAAAAAAAAAACATCAAGTTGGGAAAATACATTCAAGCAAGCTGAACATTTAGAAAGTGTAGAGTAACAGTACAGAGTGGCTACATATATGTATACATATATATCATAATATACCGACGTGCGTCGAGGGATGAAATTTAATATGCCGGTTAGAAAAAAAAAAAATGTGTTCCTATATTTCCTATAGTAATTTAATTTAGTTTCACTCTAGAAAATAGGTTGTTTCCGTTTTCAAACTAGAGTTTGATTTTTGGCTGATTCTTAGCAGACATTTCAATATTCCTTTTTTATATCTTTTCTAATGTATTTACTAAACAGAGAAAATATAAACTAAAAAGTTCAAATAAAATAACTATACTTATATGACCAAGATTTTTGCCCAGCGCCAGTACATGTCACAAAGCTCAAATAGAAGCCGTTCGTACGATTACTTGTTTTTGGACATTTCGGAGGTGATCGGTGCTTTTAATAATGTGGAGAGACTCAAAGAGTGATTTTGTAGACTAGTTGAAGAGCCTTATACCTTGATGAAAATATATTCCAATTTGATCTAATACTAATGGAATCTGGAGGAAGGCAAGATTTTCCGTAACTTGTTTACACATGATGGGCATATTATTAAGAACTCTGCTCTCTTTGACAAAAATTTTGAAAGAGGTCAATTGATAACAGGATATGCCTCGTTTATCGAATCACTACATCAAAACCAAGAATAAATATATCGAGGTTGCCGTAAGCTCTTGTTATGGTAACCACTGACATAATTTATGTTAATAATTTTCGATGAAAAATTTCAAAAAGTTTTCCCCTTTTTTAAAGTGGTCTTTTCACTTCTCCAAAAATATCAAGTTGGTAGCAAACCTTGATAAACAAAATTTAGTCAGTAGTCACCTAACCAACGATTGTTTGTTCAGCGTAATACAGGTTATCGTGCAGTCTTGTTAACTTCCAACTCTAAGTTGAGTGACCAGGACTGGTAAACAGCGATTGTCAAACAGGCCCTTAAAAAAATCCTTTCTCTAAGTCAATTCGAGTTTTTCTTTACTATGGACATTTTTGTAACTTGGCAATTAAAAAATAAGAACTGGAAAAAAAAATAAGAAAAAAAAAACCTTTAAATATTCAACCAATAATGACAAAATTGATTGCCGGCATTGTCATTCGTATGGTGTCCAGATCGTTAGAAATTGAGACATTAGTTTATGTCGATTCTTCAATCAAAAGAAGAAAACAATAAATTGGTTGACATCTCTTAATAGGTTAAATAGTTATTTTTATGAATCACGACTTATATGTGTTAAAAGAGGTGTGACCCAGAAATAAAGGTTTCAGAAAAAAAAATTCTTAGAACAAATTTTCAAACCGCACTAGGCTACGACCAACCGTTGCGAAGATACCGTAGTATAAAGTTCCCATTCCCAGCACTGTGACGTCATATGCACAAAAATTGAGTCTGCTAGCCGGCGCTGGGCGCGCGTTTGCTCATTGTTGCTGCATATTATATTATCGACATTATCGTATTGTTTCTCACACTTATCGCTGCGTCAGTTTAAATAGGTTTTGCAATTTTCGCTTGTGTTTATGACGCCACGCGTTGAATAGCCAAAACTTTATTTAGGCGTACCTACCTTATTATTTTGAGTAGCGATGCGAGATTTTCAGAAGAGTTCTAAGATTGTTTTTCTTTATTTTCTGAATATACCTTGTATTTTAAGGTTACACCCCCTTTGAAGACTTGTAGTGATACGTTATCGCTCAATTGTCGACACAGTAATTTCAGGACTCAAGATAACCATGAACCTCAATTATTAGGTATTATGGTCCCAAGAGGCTGTTTCCGGAGATGCGTAAATTCTGGCTCTTGATATTACTAATTGTCTTTATTACTTATTGACAATATTATGTTTGAAAACACCCTGTAAGTATATTCTAATTTCTAAGTCTTATCGAGTCAAGTATGGGCCGAATTTATAGTCATTCCTCGAGTCTTCCTTGGAAGCCCTGAGTTTAGAATGGACACTTGCTACTATTTGACAAGTTAGTCATGTCAATTCTAAACGTTCAAGGTTTGAGGAAACCTCAAGGAGCGACTATATAAATTCGGCTCCATAGTGATCCCTTGAAATGTATATTGCAAGAAAATCATGAGAGACAGCCTATAGACCATAATATGTGGATTATTGTCTCCTTCAACTTGATTAACTACTACCGGCGACTCTGGCGAGATCTGCCATTTTTTGATATCCTCTAATAACAAAAAACCTCAGAAAAAAACTCATTTTTACACATCAAAACAAGTACAAATGAATCTAAGGTTAGAATTTTTCAGTTACTCAACTCTCGACTTGGGTCGAAAATAATAACCGTGTTCTAGACTGATGACGTCACTTTATGACAGCAAATCGCCTTCCCCTATTACCGTTTTCTCGCAAAAACGGATGGGTTATCTATTTCCTGTAACTGCTTGTGACACGGGAACTAACGGGTGGTCGCTAAAAAATGCCTATAGTAACGCAGTTCCAACTACAAAAAACGCATGAATTATATTTCAAGACAGTAAAGGATGGAGATAAATTACACAGTTATTCTTCGCATGCCTATCGTTATCGTTAGCGCTACGTCTATCGTCTGTAAGATGACGTAGCGTGCCGGTAACGATTACAGTGAATTTATTACCACAGTGGCGACAATTGCCGTCTTCTTTTTGATTGGCTCTTTAATTTGATTGGCTCTTTTATATTCATATGAAAAGCGCCGCCATTTTGTGCCCAATCTCTTGCTACTTTTAAATATGAATATATAGATTTCAAAGGGACACCCTTCATAAAAAATTGAAAACAACGTATCCGATGACTATAATTAGGCACATCAAATACGTTGTTTTCAATTTTTTATGATGGATGTTCATTTAAATCCTATATATTCATATTCAAAAGTAGCAAGAGGTTGGGCACAAAATGGCGGCGGGACCTCTATTGTCGCCACTGTATGTAAAGGTTTATTTAGCCACTGTAGTAACGATATACGCTAAATGAAATTTTAAATGTCATATTACTATGTGACAAAAAAAAAACGCATCACCCACTAAAAGTGGATATTTTCAACAAATTTTCTACATATGTTAATGGTGTGAAACATAACAATTATGGATTAAATATTCCTTTGATTTTATATTTCTCATTAAATTACATTTAACTTCTAATAGCCCAAGCATATGTACAGAATTTGGTTAACAAATATTTATACTTCTATAAGGTCATGCGTTTTTTTTGTCACACAGTATAATTCTCAATTAGCGGTTACCGATGATGCTTTTTAAGGTTTCGGAAGCTGCCTATAAGGGAATTCAAAACCTCCCTAATAACCATAAAATATACATTGTTTGAAGCTGTGATATTTGTATACATTTATGAAAGTTTAGGCAAATCCCCAGGCAAATCCCTTACGGTCCGAAAAGTTTTTGCTTGTTTTAAAACTGAGGATTTTGGCAGCGAATGTTCAAAAAGTTAAATCCGATTGCTGGCGACAAACAAATCGCAATTTTGTTCGAATTCTCAGACTTTCGTTCAATGTAAAATATTATTTTCGCAGACTCTGGATTAAAATTTAAATTTAAATTTTAAATTAATATCAGATTGAATTTAGAATAAATTTGCATCTCTGTATCAGACGGGCTTAAAATTAATGAGAATTAAAAAATAATTAACCACTTATTTTTCTAACATTAAAGTTTCGAGTTTGAGGGAGTTTCCTAATACCCACCTACAATCATCATATCCCATACCTACGCCTGTTTTCGTACACTTCCCTTCCTACGTCCTCCATTCATTAAAATGTAATTTAACTCACTCCAACATAAGATATTGTTCAGTTCATTGTATAGCCTTTAATACATTTTTTGATTGATTTTATTATAGTTACTGACGTATAAAATTGCATCCCTTTCCGCTAATTTGCATTGCAACATTTTGCAAAACATTTAAAACATCCAACACCGAACAGTTTTTTCAACTCACATGGTCACCTACACAGCAGACCATTTTGGCAATTGTTGAACATCTAGGTACTGAAACAAATAATTTTTAATATTTATATTATTATAAAATAATATATTGAACGATTACATAGATATGCTTAACTAGTTTCAACGATTCGAAGAATTACGAGGTGTTTCTGAAAATGGATAAAATAAAGTAAAAGAAGTCTTCCATTTCAAAATTGAAAATCAAATGGAGTTCAGTTTCGCCCAGGGCTTATACTGGATAAATTTGTGAAATACAACGAATGATATTGCTCCTTTAATTTCGTAGAAAATCCACGAGGATAAAAAAAAAAACTCTAAAAGCTAGCGATGCTCTTTCTAAAAGGAATTTCTGGATATTTCAGTATTGCTTCTAAGCCTACGGTTGCTATTTATTTAGCGAATAGGATTTAGGATCTGGGCTAAAAAAATACTTTTCCAGTATTAGAAGAGGCCAGCTTAGGATTTTGGCACCATTTATTATTTAACGCTTCAGCAAGATATCGTTTGAAGATTATTTAATACATTTAACATCTATTTTATTCCTACATATACTACATTACATTATATATTCTACATTTTGTCTACGCTGCGCAATCAACGAGAGCGTATCGTTATTTTTGGGCTTTATTTATAAACACCCACGACCACTTTAAAGCTTTTAAAAATCACTTTATTTTTCGAAGAAAAACTGACGGTGAACTCCTTTCTAGGATTACTTTTACTGAATCTCATTGTCCTGGAATAATTCGCTTACAATTTGTTTCTTGAACAATAAGTATTGATACAAGAAGGTTTTGAAGTCTAGCCTAAGAATCTGTCTTCAGTTTTTTTTGTATTCCGTTACAATACCAAAAAGTGATATAACCGATGCGAACCGTTCAAAAGTGGTCGTAGTAGTAAATAATAATTAACACCTAGAATAAATATACTTCTTCGTTCAATGCGCATTTTGAATTCCTTTCTAACAAAACTAAAATGTAAAAAAATACAGATTGCACAACGCGTATACACTGAATGTACGGATAATATAGCGATACATTATATATAATATTCCAATGAAAGCATACTAACCAAATTTACCTTTATTGGGTCATAATTGTTAACAAACAGTGATGTCCTCCGGTTAATGATTGATTTGCAGCCAATGGAACTTGATCTTCTCCCTGCCATCAATTCAAGACGACAACCAAATTAATCTGTCAAAAGAAATAAAAAAATATTGGCATTCCATAAAAAAATAGACATTGGCCTATATAATATAAGAACAAGTTTTGTCCGGGTTAATAGGCAAAAGAGTCAAAAGAGAAATAAATCTAAGTCAAAAACTTCATGCAAACATAGGTCTTCAATGGCGGCTTGGTTATCAATATACAGAGTATTGATAATGAATGAAAAAAGAAACGGTTTTTTTTTCCAATAATTTAAAAAAAAACTTGACGAGTGATTTTAAATGTGGCTCAACCAAATTTTGGGAAAATAATGGTTATCACTTTACTAGGTGTATTACTGTAGGGTAAAATATTCCCAGTCCAAAAGTGAACATCATCTGCACGAGTTGAGGTATCTATGCGACCTGGAACCATCATCACCACAGACATTCACTCGCTAACGAGTATTATAAAATCTTGGCAGCATCATTATCTGATGGCTAAATAAGCCTATTTTGGACCCGCAGTTTCTTCCACATTAATTGCACACCCAATCAGCGGTAGCTGGTCGAAGTTATGAACCAGCTCTCACCAGACGTTCTCGCTTTTTTCTACGATTCCATTTGCCCTCCGCATCTTCGCCATTGTCGTTCGAAACACTCCGAGCCTTGATGGATAATTTGTCGCCACACGGGTCTACTCAGAGCCATAGCCTCCCAGTCGCACACATTAATCTAGCCCGCTTTCATGTTTGCCTTGAAGACATCTTAATATCGTTTAATTTGCACTCCTTTGCTGCCTTGGCCATTTTCCAGTTGGGAATACATAATTTGCTTAGGAAGACGTGAGTCTGGCATGCCGACGATATGACCTCCCAGCGTAACTGATGTTGGATGAGCATTGATTGCCTCAATGCCTGTGGAAATGGCTTCCTCAAGGATACTGTTCTTTATTCGCCGGTCCTGCCAGTTTCTTTGGAGTATTATTCTCAATCAGCGCTGGTGATACTCTTCTAATCACCTCGGGTGCCGTTTGTAGTCTGTAGATTATCCAGGTTTCACATCCGTAGAGAAGTGTTGGTATGACGATGGCATTGTAGATCGCGAGCTTAGTTTGGGCACTTATGTTGTGGTTATGAAACACTCTGTTTAGGAGTCGTCCAAAAGCTGCGCTGTCAAAACTTATGGAAATATGACTACCGAGGTATGGAAAGTATTCTATGTTTTCTAGAGGTGCTCCATTGATCAATTACTGGTGGATCTGGTGAATTCGCATTTGGGGCAAGCTGGTATAGAATTTTTGTCTTATCCGTGTTTAGTTCTAGACTGATGCTTTCATATGCTTGTTTAACCCTTTGAGGACCCGTGGTTATCCTTGTAAACCACAAATCTAAAGCCTTGCAGCTACTTTCCTAGAGGTTTCCGCGAATAACCACGTTGTTTTACGGGTTGTCTAACTTGACAAAATTAATAGTCATGCATGCTAGGGTGATCAGGTGAGTATTTTCCGAGTTGCCGTTTATTATTTTACGATTTTTTATGTAGAAATTTCGCAGTGAACAAAAAAATCTATTATTTTCCGAGAAAGCGCATATATATTCGAAAAATGACTGGTAAGTAATTAGATTATATCTATAAATGTCATAAAACTATTGGTCGCGTGAAAATATTGTAATTCCATTTTAGTAGTTAGGTTTTTTTGTTGCGGTTATCAATAGTAACCACTAGGATTATGGTAATATTTTCTGGAAATTTCCTTTTCTTGCTATAGTTAGGCTTTCTTGCGTTCTTTATTCACCGTATTTGTTTGTACACCGTAATTGTAGTACAGCAAAAGATGTCCATAGAACCATCTGGAAATGTTTTACATCCGACGTTGGTCTATGCCTGAATAAGGATAGAAACTGTTTTCAAAATTTTCATAAAAAATAGTTCCTTTGTCCTAGTGGTTAGTACCAGTAACCGCGTCCTGTAGGATTATGCAGGATAATTGTACATTTCCAATGTGATTTTTCTAAAACTTTAATGTCAAATAAACGTAGTTTTTCACAAATTTCATTTTTAATATACACCTTTTTTTTGCCGTCCTCAAAGGGTTAAATGCATTTAAAGTAGTTGGTAGGTCTTCCTCAATGTTTGCCAGGACAGCGTTATCTTCAGCATATTGAAGCTCACAAACAGTTGTTGTCGGTACCTTCTTCTCGGTATGGGCGCAATGCTTGAATCCGGTTGTGATTTTAAAGGCTTTCCCTGGTCCGTTATTGGTGAGGACAGTGGCGTGCATGTTGTCATGAAGTAAACGAAGTATGTTGATGAATTTAGGCGGACAGAATTTTTTCGGCTGGATAGAGCCATGATATTCTTTGGTAATTGGCACTGGGCCTTTTTTGAATATAATGACGATAGAGGTATCTCAAACATTTGTGGGTATTGTGTAGATGTTCCATATTTTGCGAATAAACCTATGTGTGTTTGACCAGTGCACGATACCACAACTTGAAAAGCTGGTTGATAGCTTTTTCAACCTCTTGATGGAAAGGAACGTCACTCACATGGTTTTGAATGGGTTGTAAATGGACTTTATTGAAAGCTTCCTCTACAATCGAAAGTGTTTCTTCGGATATCGAGACATTATCAATGAAAAGGTACTTCCGGTAAACTAACTATCTTTTTGCATATTTCTTATTTTGTAATTTGGGTGTTATTATGAATTCTTATAATCGCACTAGTGCTATTATGAAGTACCTAATGACATTCAAATGACAATGCTAAATGTGTCATAATGACACCGACTTTAAATGGTTCAATTTGATAGAAAATATAGTTATTTGCAATCACTATTTTTGAACGCTATCCACTACCGAATATCAAGGATTTTACGTATATTCTCCATAACAATTTATTCTTTTCAAAAATTGACCTTGTTAAAGCATTTCATCAAATTCCTATGGCACCTGAAGACATAGAAAAAACCGCAATTATTACTCCATTCGGACTTTTTGAATATGTCAGAATGCTGCCAGCGATTTATACTTCAAATTACTAGAGATCTTCCTTTTTGTTTTCCATATATCGATGACTTTCTTATTGCTTCTCAAGATGAAGAAACACACAAAATGCATTTGAGAGAACTTTTCAAATGACTACAAGATTATGGAGTCATTATTAACCCAGAAAAATGTGAATTCAATAAGTCTTGTATTGAATTTTTGGGTTATATAATATCGGAAGAAGGAATTAAACCTTCAACAAAAAAAATTGAAGCAATAATTAATTTTCCAAGACCAAAAACTATGATTCAAGTTCAATGGTTCTTAGGTATAAACAATTATTATAGTTCTTCGATTCCCAATGCTGGACAATATCAGGCAAAATTAAATGAATTTTTAAAAGGTGCTTATCCAGTCCCTGAACTTGCAATTTGTTTGATAGTTGATCATCAGATTCATAGATAGGTGGAGTAGTGCAACAAGTACAAAACAAAGAATGGAAACAAATTCGTCACCTAGATTTCATTAGTCATTTTATACAGATATTCGGCATATTTCAGGAAAGGATAATGTAGTTGCTGATACATTATCAAGAATTTCTACAATAAACTTACAAAAGATATCTGATAACCAACTTTGATTTGGAGGTCAACAATCAGATGAAGAATTATTAAAATTATTACGTGAGAAACAAAATACCTCGATGAAACTGGAAGAAATCGAAATTTCAGATTTAGATGTTAAAATTATCTGTGATATATCTAACAAAAAATGTCGACCCTTTATTCCTTTGACGCAAACACGTTTTTGATAAAAATCATTGTCTTTCACATCCTGGTTCTAGAGCTACAGTTAAGCTTAGTTCTCATGGTGCTGAATTCCGGATTGCGGGTGCGGAATTTTTTAAATAATTCCGTTGGCGGGAACACGTCAACTTTTTTGCGGATCCGCAATAAAGTTAAACCATTTTGAACTTTCTTGCGATTTTTTTTTGTCTTTATAAATATATATAAACACATAAACTAACCTCAAACATCAAACAATACCTAACAAAAATAAATTGATCTGCTTGCTTATGTGTGCTTGTTTTAATTTCAAACACATATTATTACGGCAAACCCCTTGTTCAAGTCTTTTCAGAAGAATATTTCTGAGCAACATCTTCCTTTTTTTAATATTCCTCTGCTTCTTTGGTGAAGTTTCATACATGTTATGGATTAATAGCAAACCCAATACTAATGTATTTATGTCTTTTCCATTGATAACAATTTAATTGGGAAATATAATTATCATCCAGCCAGGAACACAGGAAAACAAAAACCAAAAATATTTTAGGTTAAGATCACATGTATTTGACATAAAACCGCATCCGGAATTCCGTTTCATGTGAACTACCAAAAGTTACGATTTTCAAAAAACTGCGATTTCCGGACCCGCAATGCGGAATCCCGCACCATGAGAACTAGGCTTTAGACTTATTAAAAATAATTTTGTTTGGCCAAATATGGAAAAGGACATAAAAAAATGGGTTCGTTGTTGCATTCCGTGTCAAAAAGCCAAAGTTACAAGATATTTTCGCAGTACCAAAAAAAACTAAGAAATTTCACATTCAAGATTTGAACAAGTTCATATGGATATTGTCGGGCCCCTTCCGCCTTCTGATGGTTATACATACTTGCTCACTTGTATAGACAGATATACAAGATGGCCAGAAGTTTTTCCAATCAAGTATATAACGGCAGTAACAGTTGCAAAAGCGTTTTTAACTGGGTGGATTGCCAGATTTGGAGTTTCATTGAAAGCAACAACTGATAAGGGTGGACAGTTCGAATCGTCTTTATAAAGAGAATTCACGAAGCTTCTGGGTATACACCCTAGCCGTACTACATACAGTACAGCATATCATACCTGTGCTAATGGTATCATAGAGAGGTTTCACCGATCACTTAAGCAGTCAATAAAATGTTATCAAAATCCGAAATTGACAGAAATTTTACCATGGATTTTGTTGGGCTTGACTTGAGGACAACCGTAAAACAAGATATTGATTGTTTTTGTG